TACTGAAGTTTTATTGTGATAAAGTCTAATCTTGAGAAAATAATATTGTTTGTTCGCTTCAGGTTAACTTCATCGCTATTGTATGAGATCAAGAGCACTCCAAGATAGTAACTAGAAAGATACGTATCCATGGCTCTTGTAAATTCCTTGTGTTTCTTCTTCAGGGCTTCTTTGGAAGCTCTTCGCTCATCTCGAATTGCAATATGATAAATCTTGTTATGAAATTCATACGTACCAACATAATCAAATCCCACATAACCAACAGTATTGATATTCTCTTCGAGACGAAAGGGAAAAGAGTAACTGAATCGAATAGAGTGCATGGTTAATTTCTTTCGTTCTAGCATCTGAATCATCTTGAGAGATGCTTCGTAAGAGTTATGTTTTCGCATAGGTACTTCAAAGATGACCCTCTTCTTGAATGAACCTGAAGACAGTTGTTGAACTGTTGTCGAAAGCTCTTCCAGAGAACTAACAAACTTGATCTCGCCAAGATGATTCTTGCAAGGAGCTGTGATGCCCGATGGACAGAAAAAGATCCCAACTGCATTTTCATGCATGTTAATAATATTTTTAAAATTTAAGAGAATATCAGGATCACACAACTTATCAACACAAAATTTAACACGTATGGGAAAATATGTTCTGTTAAAGAATCCCTGCATGTTGATATATCCATTCTTAAATTTTCCATCGGAGAACCTGGTAAAGAAAGCTCCTCCAAGCTTGTTGAGAGTATCGAGCACTTGCAACTCACCTATGTACATTTTTACATTTGAAAAGTGATAGTGGTTTATATGCTTTTTCTTAAGATGCTCTTTGCTCAGATTGTTGGTAAACTTGTAAAGGTCTAGAAGAGGTTTTTGAAAAGACATTATTTTACAAAAAAAATCTACTAATCGAATTATATTCAAAATTTATATTACACAGAGTTGAGCAAAAAAGAAGCAAAAATTTTTCAGCGAAGTGCCAATCATGATAATGACACCTATCAGCTGATTTCTAATGAGCGAGCGTAGCTCGCTCCATACCCCAAGCATTGCGTAGCATCAAGAATTCAGAGCAGCATACAACGTATGCTGGCGTGAAGCGTAGTAATGATAATTACTAACGCCTCATCGCACTAATATATATTATATATTATACTACAATATGTAAAGAAGAGATACATAGTAGATCATTACCATCAAATAGATTCTTTATC